GAGAAAATATATCTGCCCTGAACGTTACCGAGACTCCAACCAGCCCTCAACCAAACTGACGTCGTCGGTGGCCCGCCCGGAGTGTTTGTAATAGCAGTGGCCACCCCTTTACGAAAGGAGTGAGTTCCCAGGTCCTCCACACTCAGTCCAAGGGCGACAATTTCGTCACGGTGCACCTGGCAGGTCTTGGTCAGCCACGCAGAAAACCGTTCCTTTGCATTCGCCCCAAATACAAGGGTGGAAGTACCCTCACGCCTCGACCCCCTGGTAAACACGAGCACGGCGAGGCTACAACACAACATATTATTGTAATTCAGCATAATTTAATTGTCAAAACATACTGAATATAATACCTCAACACAGGGCAGATAGTGGGATTCATTGGGTTGGCAAAGACATGCTTAGGGAAGCAAGTCTTTCCCTCTTGATCATTCTTCATCAGACCAAACTTGACAACCATTGCATCCCCTAAATTACTAAATACTCAACGACTCCTTTAAAACATTATAATATTATTTAGTGTACCATTCCAAGAGATGTGATCATATCGAATTGAACCAACGGACGCTGCCCTTGCCATCAAATTCCAACTGAACAGCAAAAAGCAGTGGACGTTGAGGTATTGGTTGTGAACCGATACATTCCCCAATGCTTTCGCGGCTAAAAACACGAACCCTATGTATATATTAAATTTGGCCACAACTCATAAACACTACTACGTAGTAGTATACCTGAAAATGATACAGGACGTTTGCCTTCATTGATTGACATATTCCCGTTCTGCTTCATCTGGGCCACATGTCGCTTGTACCCATCCGAAAATGCTAATAAAAAATACTGCGTAGTATTAAAATAGTTTAGAAACAAATGTACCTGAAAGTGTTGAGTCCACTTCGGACGATACTTCCATGCTGGACTCCTTGTACAAGAACTTGATCGCACTCTTGTACCCGTTGACTGTCGATGCCGTGTTGAACGTTCTTGGCAACAGCTCGTTACCTTGCTTGTCGCGTTTCACGGACACGTAGGAGAGGTACATCTTGCACACATTCTCTGGAAGAGGTAACATTATGGTTTCGCCCACAACATGCACCGGGTTATTGGCTTGCAGCCATCGCTTGAAGTGCGAGACCATGGTGTTGTAATGCTGCCTTGTACCCTCCAGTAGACGAAGGCGTATGACGTCGTCGCCTGCCTCGGCCTCGCTCTCGTCAGCCTGACGTTTCCGGCCCATCAAACAAAAACTCCTTGTAAGTTATGCGGTATTTGCTACGGATAACCACTTTCGTAGAAGTTTCGTAATCCCAGCCAATCTGTCGATTACTCGATAGGTATACAAATATCAAGTACTGTAAATCTGGATTGGTTGGGGTTACGAAACTCAGACGAAACTATTTGTTTCGCAGTCCTATGGATTATCCGGCTATTACTTTCGTAATCCCCAACTATTGTACTAGTACTGTATTGTACAGATCAGATCAGAAAACACTTTAGATTCTAAATTGACTCCATTTGCTTTTCGAGCAAGCGAATTAACAATACAAAAGAATATTAATTTGAGTTTCAAAGTCCACGAAAATTCCTATATTGACTCCCCCTATTAACAACGCCGCCCAAACCCCTCCTACCAGGGAGGTAAAATAGCTCAGTCGTAGAGCATCGGTTTCTTAACTCAACGGTTCGATCCCCGGCTTCCCCGGATTATTTCCGTAAGGATTTATCCGTCCCTCCAAGAGTTGAGCGAAGTAAAATCCGAAGATTACTGTCGGATAAAATTAGTTATCCGGAAAAATGGAAAACTGGTGATGTGCCATCATGAACGTGTGGTGTAGAGCATGTGAAACGCACGTGTGTTGTATGTTTTAGCCAATCAGATTTTGGCAACAATCTAGTGGCTACCTGCGTGCCTTGGCTGTGATGTGAAGAGGATTGTAATGAATGGTACACAACTCAATTTACCACCTCCGACCTGAGCCACTCTGCTTGTGTGTATGTGTCGATTGATTTTTCTTAGCGTGATACGTATTGCTTGGATTGATATGATATTTCAAGTATATTGATCTCGTCTGCTTCATCAAAATCTACCTCGGACTTGGCGCTTTTAGTGTTCGACGGAAAGAAAATCCTAGTTTCGTGTGTGGTCCCAAAGCTTTGTTAGCTACCTGGAGGGAATGACCCTTGAGATGGTTGGTAACTACTTAAGGGAACCAAAATCATTGCCCGAGCCTCAAATCAAATATGAGGATTGTCTGCATTGCGAGCCGCCGATTATCTCGACTGGCAATGAAGCGCATGGCCGGTAGCACTTGTACAATCGGAAGAGAACAGAGCAAAAAGTTCGCTTCTACCTCTATAGTCTTCTACCTAAGTCGTTTGTCCAGCAGCTACGCGACACGACTGTGGAAAAACTCCTGTGCATGAGGTGTGGTCTGAAGTCGAAAGTCGCTACGGGACTTCGAATGTTTCATCTGTGACTGGGTTATATGGGTCAATTGATTAAAACGGCTCAAAAACCATTTGACAACATCCAGTCATGGTTTGGTGAGATGAAGTCGCTCAAGAACCTGATCAATGCCCAATCTCCTCAACACCTTGGTCGCGACAGTGTGACAGATGACTTGATCATTTACATGGTATTGAATGAACTACCCTCTCAGCTTTATGGTGCACAAATCAGGTACGATGGGTCTTTTAACCTAGCTAGGGTAGAGGCTAAACTTGTTGGAGTTTTTGGTCAAAAGAAGAAACATGCAATTTTGACCATTGGAGGTCAAACTCAACGACTGGATATGCCGGTTAGCAATGCTAACGTTTCCTCCAATCAGAACTATCGGAAACGAAAATCATCCGGAAATCTAGCCAATCAATGCAAGCGTTATGACACTGGAAAGGCGTTTTCCAAGGCAACTCCAAAAAGCCGCAAGTGCTTCTACTGTGAAGGAAAATACAACGTCAACGGCGTGGACCACATGAAGTGGGATTGCCCTAAGCGCCAGGATGATTTTCGACGAGGCTGGGCGCGAAGTTCGATTTTCGAAGAACCTCGGCGAATCGAAGATGCGGTGCCCAAGGGTCGTGATGTTCGCACCGAAGTGGCCTGCGGCGCTGTCGTGACGCGTGAAGAAGTGCCTCCAAGCCGTCAAGAATTTGACCTGCCGAACATGTCTATGGACGACATATTTTCGTTCCCTGATGACAGCGACATGCTGTCCTACTCGCCCGCCTTGGCTGTGGCCACGACATCCACTCCTCGTGTCGAGACGATGGCGGCATACATGCGTGACCTATCCGTAAAGATGGACCAGGTATTAAAATTACTGTGTCCGAATTTACTAACTCGTCGTGAAATGAGTAGTCATGAATGGGTACTCCATAGTGGTTGCGGTCACCACATGACCGGTGACGTTAGTTTTCTAACCAACTTAACAATGCATTCTGGATTCACATTTGCATTTGCTGGTGGTTATAAACTCGTTCATACACACATGAGAGTTGCGGTCAATACTGTGACGTTGATTTCGATGTTAACTAAGGGTACTGTCAACGGTGTGCCCCTCATATTCACCTTGACTGTTTACGTGGATTACGAGTTTTTTGCAGGACATGTGTCCGCGTAAAGCATTGTGGAATGTCCTAGAAAGGGTTGATCGGCAGTAGGCACCCCGACCCGCTTGGTTCACTTCATATGGACACTTGTGGCCCCCTTAAACAAGCTGGAATGTATGGCACATTTGGACATATTAGGTACTACTGTTCAATTGTTGATGATGCGACGTCGTATCGATGGGCTACATTTCACTCAACAAAGGACATCATTCCAACTAGTATCAAAGAATTCGTGAAACTCGTCTAGCGACAGTGTGACAGTGTCGTACTTCGAGTGCGTACTGATGGTTGGACTGAGTTTACAATTAACAACAAATCACTTCTAAGTTTTTTCGAAAACTCGGTGTAAAATACGAGAAGTCAAATCGATACTCACTGGAAGAGAATGGCTCTGTTGAGAGAGACCATCAAAGCAAGTTTGCCAAGGTCAGGTGCATGCTATTAGATGCTGACATGACGTCCAAATGGTGGCCTGAGGCTCTTATGTATGCCACGTACCTTCAAAAGTAGGACACCATCTCAAAGACTTGATGACAAACACCCTTCGAAGTACTACATGGTGAGGTACCTGATGTGAGTAATATCAGACCTTGGGGAGCCATCTGCTATGCGCATATTCCAAAGGAATTACGAAAGGACAAGAAATTGGAAAGTCGTGCGTTAAAATGTCGCCTTTTAGGTGTGGCAGAGGACTACAAGGGATATCGTCTGCTGGATATACATAATAATCGCTTTCTCATTTCGAGGGATGTCACCTTTGACCACGAACACACCCGAGCGATTACAGAGAAAGCATTCGCTGACGTGGCGACCCCACCGACTAGCACTGAACTTCGTGCTGTTGACCTGCTTCAACCACCAGAAAGTTATGAAAGTGGTTGACAAAGTGAATCTAAATTTACGTCACCCGATGACGTACACTTGCGCCTTGCTGCACGACCATGCAAATCAACAGCCCGGATGCACCGACGGATGGTGGTTGAGAGATGTCCTCCTCGTGGAACACAGAAAACGTTTCTTGTAGAGACTCAGCACTGAGGCGCAAGATGATCATGGGGAGTTGTTGTACGAGGTCGACCAGAGCGGGGGAGTGGCCTCGTTTGGTTGTGATTCTTATACGTTTTGATGATGCTTTGGACTGTTGACTTGGGGATACTCAAGCATGAGCCGATTTTGCCATAGCCCATCCCGTCAAGGTGCTTGGATACAACAAGGGAGCGCAGTTCGTGTGAGAGCTCCTTGCTTGCACATGGAGCGTCGTTTGACATGCTATTAGTGTAGCTTTGATGGTGTAGTGGATGCAGTTCACTTTGATAAGTGAATTGAATGTTTAGGGGCTGTTCCAAGTAACTTTCAAAAAAGAACGGAGCCAATCAGAATCGTTTCCGTCGTACTTTGAAATCACTTTTTCACAGTACAATGGCGAGTCATGATTTGATCGTGTTTTGGGTACTGATTTCCATCCAACTTTTAAACGACCAACATTATACATATTCCACAGTATATAATCTTTTGAAGGTATTAATTATTGCTATAACCCATGACAACCAGTAAAAATGAACTCCTATTCGACACTCATTGCAGTCACATGCCCACTAAAGGCAGCCAAGTCACTATCAAGTATGCTCGTACGATTCCAGCAGTTGGTCACCGTCGATGGCGATACTGCGCGCCATGCTTCCTTCGCCCAGCCCATTGCAACGACGAGGGGTACTTCGTACAACCGATCTTGACGTCCTTCCATGACTTCTTGAATTTGATCCAGGGCGTTTTGAAGCTGCCATTGTTTCACCTTTGCCTTGAAAGTGCAATGATGTCTGCGTCTTGCGGCTGAAGGTAAGCTGTCGTATTTGGTGGCAGCATCTTCAGATTCACACTTGTCAACTGGTGCTCATCCAACGCGATATGCGGCGGCGCATTGTCGACCAACAGCAAAATCTTTCGATCCTCGGCCACCATACGCTTGTTCAAGGAATCGAGGTACGTGTTGAATATACGACCATTCATCCAAGCCTTCTTGCTGGTGTGGTAGTCAAAACCCAATTCTTGTCCAGTCTGGTGATTAAAGCATCTAGGCTGCACTGCCGTGCCAATGAAAAGGGGGTCAACGACGTCAGACCCGTCAGAATTGGTCGTATGGGCCAATGTATTGCGCTTTTTGGACTTCTTTGTTCCGGGAACTCGATGCCGTGTAATCAAGCGGTGGGGGGACAAGCAGTAGAAAAAGGAAGTTTCGTCCATGTTGTAGACATCTTGACGATTGTAATCACTCGTTGCGTTTAGGACATCTTGTCGCCCTTCAAGGACTGCAGCGAGCGGCATGGAAGTGGCTTCACCGTGTTGGAGCTTGCTGGTGAGTCCGTGTTTTCGTTGGAACTTGTGTAACCATCCTTTTGAAAAGGATATACGTTCGTCTTCGGGGATCCCGTGCACGTCACAAAAGACGCCCGCCTGCTTCCGGATGAGTTCTCCGGTGATGCAGACGCCCAGTTGCTCACAGCGTAGTACCCATTGGAGGACTTCATTCTCGATGGCTGGTAGCTTAACGTCTCGGTTAATCGAACGAAATTTGTTGTCCGCTCGGTTTTGCAGATTGGCATGTCGTTTAATTACATTCCCAATTGTAGCTTTTGTTGGAGTGGAAACGAGTGCAAATGTGTTCGCCGCCCATGCCGCCAGCTCAGAGTACGTCCCTTCCGGGCGACGAGTATGCTCAGCACACAACTCATGCTTGTCAACCAAAGACATGCGCACCTTCATGTTTCAAAATAACACAACGCTACAGTATTGATGCCTTTCACTCTTAGCATTTGAATTTTCAAAACTTTCTGTGTAAGTTAATAAGTATAAGATTATAAAAATTATAGATTTGCCCCGTTTAAAAGTCAGAGGGAAATCAGTATTTGTGCATCCCAAGTAGGTTAAAATGATTGGATTACGTTTTACTTGATCTGAATATTGGATATTCAACTCGCACCTTGGGCCTGCAAGTCCATGCCGAGGTTGGTCGGAGCCGCCATTAGTGGACGTGTTCTCGTCAACTGCACCACCAGGAACTGTGAAATCAATCCCACTTTCGCAGGATACCTTTGGGGTCATGCCACAGTACCGCTGTGGACGCTTCGGCAGCCATGACAATACCTGTGCTGACAGCGAGCCGTACCATGTCTTGCTCACGGCACGGCACGAATCGACTGCTGTTATGTACGAGGAGAGGCTGCGGAACATCATGGAGGAGACTTCAAAGCTATAGCTAGGCATAGCTATCATGCTTCTTGTAAATGTACATGTTCCTAAAACTCGTATGACCTAGGCCTTGTGCTTGGATCTAGGGCAGGTCGCCACCGTTCCAGTAAATTTCGCTGGTGAGCAAGCACATTGGTCTTTATATGAAAATTAGTATGTAAGCATATGCCACTGTGATTGGATAGGTTTGTCCAATCCGTGCGCGCTGAAAACCTCAAAACACGATGGACCAAAACACGACAAAACCATCGCTAGCCAATCACGTGGAAGCAGAAAACACGACAAAAGCACGACCAAATTGCGATCAAATAACGACAAACTTACTTGGGAACGCATATTGGGTTTAAAGTACGACGGTACTTGGAAGAGCCCCTTAATGAAATGATTTGGTGAAGTAGTGGGGGACTTCCAAAACCGTCGCAAACTTCTTTGAGTCGACGATTTTCATCGGGAATTATAATTCAATTCACCCGTACTTCTTTGCTGAGACGCAAATAGAGTCTCAGCAAAGAAGTAAGCCAAGCGACTCAATTTATAACTTACAAAATTTATACCATACTATAAACAAATACAAGTACCTTCATTGTGTTTGATTAAGTGGTGGCGACTGCTTTTGCTGGCGCAGGATGACGGGAACTCGGACGCCGACGATGAGCAAGTGCTACTTTTGTTAAGAACACGGATGGCTCTCAAGGAGCGTCATTACTTGACCTCGCCATCCCTCATCGCAAAAAATCCGACCCCGTGGGCAACCATGTACGCCGCCCGCGACTGGAGCTCGTTCGTCACGTCTGTGTCGCTTGATCCCGAGACGTTTGACCTCTTGCTCGTCTCCTTTGCCAAGCACTACCCTGTTCACCATCTCAGTGGAAGTGGTGGAAGACCACCAAAGATAAACAGCATCAACGAAGCACTTTCGCTGGTTTTGCACTTCTACAGTGCACCATGCGAAGGCAAAACACTCTGTGCACTGTTTGGCATGCCGCCAGCTACCCTTGCTCGAACGCTCCACAAAGCCGAATTGGCCTTATCGGCTGCATTGAAGACGCTTCCTACCGCGGGAATCCGCTATCCAACAAAACGTCAGCAACGGGAATGGGGAGTTCTTATCAGCCGTGTGGAACCACTTGTGCGTGGCGTGTGGGGCTTCCTTGACGGCAAAAACTACCCAGTCAAAGCACCAACAGCAGTGGACCTCCAGAATGCGTACTAGAATGGGTGGTTGCACAGTACTTTTGTGACTGGCACGCTGCTGTTCGGTGCGGACGGAACAATCGTATGGGGGCGCCACAACTTTGTCGGTAGCTGGAACGACGCTGACACAAGCTCACCGCTTCGGGACAAGTTGTTGGATCCAGATGCAACTCTTGCCGGTCATGGTGTGGTGTCCGACTCAGCGTTTCGGGTGTCGGGTGATCTATTCGGCAAGATTAGGACGCCGTTGAAAGATGGCGACATGGATCGTGCATCACTTCAGTGCAGAGCTGGTTTACTCCGAATGAGTGTTGCATTAACTTCAATTCGTCAGGCCGCTGAATGGGGTATGGGTGCAACCGAACAAGTTTATCGACAGCTGCTTTTACCACTTCCATGCAATCCAACATTACGTAGCTTGCGCTTGCAAAACATTTTCATGCTGTATAATTTTAGGGTTAGACGAACTGGTATTTCACAAATTAAATCGGTAATGCAAGGTTGAATAACACTTGGAGTACTAGGAATGTGCTTCTTAAGGTCAAGTACTAGTATCATGCGAGTCAAAAGTGGAAACATTTACTACTTTCATGTAGCGAAGCACATTAGTTATGAAACTGTATCAGTCTAATTGTTACTACTTATCAAGCAATTTAGTAAATACAGCTAGCATACATTGATCGAATTTCTCGCGTCGTTCTTGCATCTCAAGCTGCTGGGTTCGGAATGCTGCATCACGCTCCTCCATTTTCATAACAAAGTCAATCAATGTAGCACCATGCATACCAGATTCCATGCGTTGCTGTTTCTCGATTTTGTTGTCGGCCAAAGCATTCAGCATGTCGTCAATATTGCGACGGCGAACCGCAGTTTCGCTCCTAGCAGGCTCTGCACCACGCAACGTTCCCAAGGCGATCAACTCTGCAGGCGATAACCCAGTTCGTTGAGTGGCGACCGCATCGCACTCAACCAACGCGTCAATGGGAGCAGCATAACCGTCCGAAGCGCCTTCGCTGTCGTTGCCCTCATTGGGGGGCTGCTCGCAAGATGGCAAGTCGCAGACTCCCATCGCTGCTTCGATTGCTTGTTGGAGTCTCTTTGCTCTTGTTACGGTGGGTGGACACATGGGGTCGCCAGTGGGTTTGCGGATACTTCGAAGAACCTTGAACTTTCGCCGGATGCTGTCGACGTCGCGTGCTGGCCACCCGTCGTTCGCTTGAATTGACGTGTTGTACGTCTCTCGAATGATGTCCCAGTGCGCTGGCCCCCAAGGCAGGTGAACTTCGACAGCATCAAGCATCACGTGCACCTCGGGGTCTGTCCATCCTTTGCCTCGTGATGGCTTTGCCATGATCTTGTTGGGGGACATCATCAAGTGACTTCGACACAACTGGGCAACAATTCTGCACATCGTCAAGTGACTTCGACACAACTGGGCAACAATTCTGCACAAGGTTTTGATTGGCTTATTTTATCCTATCACAGCTATGCATTTTTCAATGGCTGACCAATTTGAATCGGTTTTGGTCGAAGCTTTTCAGCATCGGCTCAATAATATTCACTCACAGTACGGATAAATTTTGTACCACAGTGGGTTCAAAAGAAGTTTGCGCCGTTTTGGAAGTCCCCCAGTGTGTGAGCTACAACAATATTTGGCAATGGGTACGAAGACTTTTGAATCGATTTTTTTGTATCATATGTTTTGTTTTCATGTTTTCACGTTCAGTTTTCATTCGTTTGTGCCCAATCAGCATCCTATAGATAGAGCAGATGTTAATCTGTATGGAAATATATTTACCTTGCCGAACCTATTAATATGTCAAAAGTTATAGTCAAATGATGAAAAATGTCATGTGGGGTACGAAGACTTTTGCCACCCACTATACATTCTGACTCGTCTGTGGATATCGCTATTCCATCCTGTGTAATGGCAGACGTACCGGTTAAGCATCATTTAGACGTAAATGATGACACTAAAGAACTTACATCGGATGGTAAACGAAAGTTTCCTAACCATGTGGAGCGATATACAAATGAGCGACAATCTGATAAACGTGCTCGTTCTACTGATTCCAGTGTTAGTGGGAGTCATTCGTTCGTCGAGGACACCACTGTTCAACCGCTTCCTCTTCCTGTACGCAGTAAGCGTAAGCCATCGCATTACCTTGAATATAATTGTAATGCATCGTCTCGCAGTCATCGTGAAGTGGTCTTACTTCCTGACGTTCACCCGCGAGTTGAGCATCTCAATTCCAGTCAAGCCCTAAACCTCCTTGAAGTTGGGCTACGACAACTAGAAAATAATGAACTAGTTCATGATGTCAATGTTGGACATATCACCAATCAACGAATTGATTCAAATCGTATCCCAATTCCACGATCATTAAAAGAAGCATTATCTGGAAATTATAGTTCTCAATGGCGTGCAGCAATTGACGATTAATACAATTCGCTTATTGACAATGGTACTTTAGATGATTTGTCAATTGAGAAAAGATGTGGTGAGGTGGTTGATGGAATGTGCCAGTTACCTTTATAAATTTATATTCTGTGTAATTCTTACCTACTTTGTCAGAGTATTTCCTGCAATCCCAAACATACTAAGTATTCATGCCAAGAGGTTATAGTTTGCCACAGCCCTGTCAAAGATAAACTAGTCATGTAACGCCAAGAAAAAAGAACAAAAATGTCTATTGTATATTTCAACGGATTCAAAGACAAACAAGAGGCTCACTTCCATTTTGCCATGTACTGCACACTTCCATCGGGATGCCGTCCGGATACGATGGCGGGCGACCTTTCCTGCGAGCATGAATTAGCATTACTGTACCGATTTCGGGGAGTTACAGCAAGGCAGTGTCAAATGGACCGCGTTCCCTGAAGTCACGGGACCGCTTCGGTCTCGCCCGTTGATATTTCTGGGCCGGATACCGCCCTGTCTTGTTCCTTTGGTATTCGGAGGAGTCCCTGAACTCATGGTCTTCGTTCAGGAAAAGTCAAGAGTGCCCAAAAACCCACAAAGCGGTATGTTATTTCATGTAATATCGAAAAGCATGATTATCTGATACACTTTTTTATAGTCCTCAAGCGTCCTGAAGCACTTCTTCAGGAAGATCTTCCGCCATCTCAACCACTTCAAACTCACCACTATCTACGACAGTTTGTAATATTTGGCCGGTCACGATGTCTTCAGCAAAGAAGTCGCAGGTCTCCACGGCGTTTCCAGGGGGGTTCGATGATTTGACATTTCACAAATCCTTTGATCACTGTGCTTGTAGTCAACGTGTTCGAGGCGTCCGAAATCTATTCCACCAGGTCCCAGCGATCAGGGCTGCCAAGCCAGAAAGCCTTGCCCCCGCCGCCATGATTTTCAGCAATTTGGGTACGCAAAAATTCAACCCACTTGCGACGCATTAACGCTTTGATCGGTTTCATCCAGGCAACGTCCGCAGACTGGCACATCCAAATAAACGTTGGCGGCACGCGAGAAAGGAGCACTCGTAGCTCTTCGGCACGGACGGTAACGTTCTCGGTAAAATGAGCACTATAGTCATCCCACAGGAGCAGCACGTACTTTGCAGACGTGCCTCGTCGACGGCCAAAGTGGTATCCCAAAAAATGGAGTGAGATGTCGCTGTTCCACCAAGCTGACGGGCTGCCGTAGATGCGCAGGGGAAAGTTGTCGTGCAATTCGGTGATTTCATTCCAAACACGACGCCCGAAGCCATTTCGCTGGGTAAGGTTTTCTTGTACGACACTCTTGATTTTTGACGCTTGTGTTTTTAGGACCAAAAACAGTGGGTATTTGGCGCCTTTGGCATCAGCCAGAAGCATGGCGGTCATTCGGTCCTTTTCGTGGCCTGAACACTTGATCCACACAGTCTTCGCGCCTTCCTTGTTGATTGTTTGCTTCGGTATGTACTCGTAGTTGATCCCCGTTTGATCTGCGTTGTAGATGTCTTCAATGTCGTTGTCCAGAATGATCTGTCTGATAGTTGTCTTGAACTCTGCTAGAGCCTGCTGTCCGTCTTCAAGGTTGGCCTGGCCGGAACGTGTTATGACTCGAATGGCAAGTCCCCAACGCTTCATGAAACTCTTGATCCATGTTGGACTTGCCTTGAACTGATCTTTGGATAGGCCCAGGTCAGCCGCAATTTCCAATGCCTTGCATTGAAGCAAAAGGTTGCTGACGGGTACACCGTCTTGGCAAAGTTCTGCTACCCAGAGAGCAATGTTCTCTTCGTCGCTGTAGGAGAGCGTTGTGGCGGTTCCTGGTTGACATGTAGTTCGCTTTTGGCTAGTTGATGGCTGGTTGGCAGCGCGTGTAATGTGAGCACGTTGAGCTTCCCATCGCAAGATCCTTTTCCACACAGTTTGTCGCTCGTTTCCAGTCACTCCATTGAAGAAGGTGTTGATGGCCGACTCCATGGAGTGTTGGACGCGCCAGTTGATGATGTGCAGCTTCTTAGCGTACGTGTTGAATTCGCGGTGATGCTTGTGGGTACTTCTCTTCATGTTCTTGATGACAGGTCGGCCAGTAGCAAGCCGATGGTACTGAGGCTCGAGCGGTGGCGCCATTGTGATTTTGCCGCCTTTCCAGTGTTTTTAAAGAGCTGCCGACATTCAATAATATAGTTTCTGGGAGGTGGTTTTTACTGCTTGAATAGTCAAAAAGTGGGAGATAGTGAAATTGATTGGATTATCGTAGTTGACAATGTTGACGATCTCACCATTATCTCTAAGAGCCAAGATTTAGTTGAAAAGTTACAATCTCAACTGGGCCAACGCTTTAAAATGAAAGATTTAGGCGATTTCAACTACATACTCAAAATTCGTGTAAAGAGGAATCGGTCGCAGAAAACGATGGCACTTTCACAAGAGAAGTTTATTAAGGATCTCTTGACGAAATACAAGATGGAAGGTTATGGAACAGCAACCACTCCACAGCTAGTGAGAGTCGAACTGAAACCAGAAGTTCAAATGACTTCAACTCAGATTGCAGCACAGCCCTTTGACTACAGAGGACTCGTTGGGTCACTACAACACTTAGTACGTGGTACTCGACATAGCTATTGCAGTTCGGGAATTGAGCAAATATTTGAGTTGTTACAATAGTTCTCATTGGGAAGCAGCCCTGAGAGTACTAAGATACTTGAAAGAGACGTCTACATATGGACTTCTAATTGACGGAAAACAAGCAGGTGCTTCCTTTGAAGTCTACACAGACGCAAGTTTCGCGACTCAACAAAAAGAGCGTAAATCCATCACTGGTTATCTTGTCATAATTGCTGGAGTCTGGATCTCGTGGTGCAGTAACAAGCAAGCTTGTATTTCAGTTTCTACTACAGAATCTGAGTTGGTTGCATTACAGTGCTTGGCGGAAAAATGCAGTCAGTGCTACTGTCAATGTCACTTCAAATTTGTATGGAGAGTAGGATTTGCAAAATTTGAATTAAAATAATATTTGACACCTTGAATGGGGACAATCCAGAACGAACAAATCCTATTGGATCATTGTATTGGCCAATCAATCTCCAATGTAACGTTACATATTTATGTCGCATAAATGGTCGAATTCATGAATCGAACAAATTGGACTGCACGAATGGATTCATTCAGGAGGGGGGTTTACCCCGAGTACCCTCCTACCGACTCTAACAAGCTCCCACACATAGCACACGTACAACTTAAAATTGCATTACAGTCGGAATTGACTTTTCAAAGGAACCCTTTACGGTCTCCGGGCTAATCTTGTCCCACACACGAATGGTGCGATTGATAATAGCAATGCGCTTTACACTAGTCGACAGCCGCGAGAGTGCCTGCCCAAAAAGAATCAATACAGGGAGGTTTACTGAGTTTTCCAAAATAAAGCTGGATGTTAAGAAGCGACCAATAAAAATCGAAGAAATTAATTACATCTCTGATTCTTTTCCACTCGAGTCGTTACTACCTGTCACGCTGCCGCCATCGCTGCTGCCTTCTACGCTTTCATTGTCACTCGCTTCGACTTCTTGTAGCCCCTTTATGTACTCGGCCAGCTTGTAGAGTTGTCTGTCGGCCTTGTGAATACAGCCCTTGATGCTGCTGGGTGCCAAGTCCTCAAAAGCTTCCATCAGCCGCACATACACGTCTTTGAATTTCGTGTCCTGTGTGTACTGACGCCAACCTAGCATATATCAATAACCATATCAATAACGCTGTGTATTGTACTTTGGTACTATACTTGGCATTTTACAATAGCCCAGAAAATCTCAATTGGTTGCAGGTCACTATGGTATGGCGGTGTGTACACCACTTGATACCCTAAGGCACGTGCCACAGCTACAACCTCAATGTCAATTTTGTTGACATGCACACTTAGCTTTTTCCAAAGTGCAGCTTTAGTTTCATTTGTAAACGAAATGCCGTACTTCGTGCAAGCATTTTGTAGAACACTCTTTTTTTGTCCATATTTAGGCGTTACGATAGGAAGACCTTTATGGTATTTGGCATTGTCCATTACTATAACAGCATAGAAAGAAGTTTGGAAAACCAACTCACAAAATATGTATGATCAAACATTCCGTGATAATCCTTTGTTTCAGGTTTACCGGTTCGTTTTCCTACTTGAAATATATCTAAGCATAAGAGTTTGCTATCCATACAACCACTAATAAAACAAAATCTTTCACCTTTGTGCTTTTCTTTCACTTCCAGATCAAGTTCATCACTAGGATCATATAATGAATCATCATGCCGACTATAATGGTGGTGAATATAACTCTCATCCAAATATACAATTGGCCGTCGGTTGACATCGCCCGACAAAATATCACACACATCAGAAACATATACATCACGATGCTGTAAAGAAGCATCGGACATACGGAGGCCTAGACCTTTTTTTTCTTTCCCCTTTTGTAACCCAGTTTTGACAGAGCCCTTTGGGTCGTCCGTTACGCGGCTAGAGTGGAGAACTCCGACTCTGGATCAAATCCAAGCGGTGTTGGGACCGCAGAAAGTGAGCAACATATTTGGCGACGGTTCGTTGGCGTACAAATTCTTGGGTGATCTGTGCCAGTGTGATCGTCAGAGAAAGCCTTGTGCGGAGGAACATGTCGGGCGACGCTTGGGGCTTGGTGGTTGTGGTGCCCTTGTCGACAAACTCTTTCCACACCTGTTGGACCAACTGTTCCTTGTGCCGTAGATAGCGGGCGGCTGTGCGGCTGGCTGCAGCGGTACCTTCTTTGCGAAGCTGTGCGTTTACCATTAGCATGTCGAGTAGTTGGTATGTGAGGCTGGTGTCGAGTATCAGAGCCAGTGTGAGTTTGCATGTGTAATTATTGAAGTTTTATTGTATTTTTGGCTGTCTCGCAATTGTTAGTATTATACGTAAGAGTTTATTTGATAATAGAGTTAGATTCGAAAGGTTTTCAACTTTTGCGGTATCATGTCTGAGCGTGTATGCCATTTCAAGATCTGTTTGCTTTAGAGTTTTTTAGCGTCTTCCCAGCGCTACAATTTCATATTCAACTTTTCTTTATTAACTTTTCTTTATTGCGTTTTTGTAGCTAAAGTTTTTGCCAAAGGCACCCTCGCGGCTGTCGACTACTCTTAATGCGCTTTTCTTGAAGCGTCAAATCGTCACCTTGACCTTCGTCGTCCTCCAGTAGCCACGCTGTCTTCAACATCGCCTTCAATGGTCCCATAACCCCGACATCAAGGGGTTGGCACCTGCTCGTGGAGTTCTTCGGCAGCGGTTGAATCACACTGAACGAGGACTCGGCCATTCTGTCATGTGCCTTTTCAGACACATGGCATTCCAGGTTGTCGACAAGAAGGACGGAGGCTCGAGCAAATGGTCCGCCAGATTGTCGAGGTACATCATCCACACACGCTCGTCCATCCATGCATTTGCTTGGACGGCATACCAGTGACCAACAGGGTACGTTGGAAGCTCCCACTTATTAATGATTCCACCAGACTGCCCTTTCACGATGAACATAATGGTGTGACTTCACACCTACATTGGCTTTAGAAGTAGTTGTTTGATTGCCTTACCATCAGCTCGAATCGTCAAAAGTGCCGTTAATCGCTCCGAGTGCTCTTCGAACTTGTCCACTTTGCTCGACTTCCCGATCTCAGCCAGGTGCTCCCGGGGGGCCAGTTTCGTCAGCGTTCAGAATGGTGTGCTTTGGGTAGGCAGCATACTTGGTGTGGAAGTACACTGCATAGCCAAGCCACACAGAGTCCAACACCTCTTGACTGAGTTCGACACACAGGCTTTTCGGTGTCTAAACCGGTTGCGCGTACAAAACCGAAGCAACAGACATCGAAGAGATTCATAACCAACCTCCGGGTTCTTCTTCGCCTCGATGTAGGACACGAGCCATGGCTTTTGGTTGCGCCGGATCCATTGCATGAGGTGAAACACTCTAACGAACTTGTTGTTGTCCCGCCGTTCGCTCATGTACGCAATGATGTCGCCCTTGAAGGGGATCATGGATTTGCGGCCTTGTCCTCCCATCGTGGCCTTGAGGCCGTGGCGCGATCTGGATGTGATATGGGACTCCTTGCACCGCCAGCCTTGCCATGTCCCGTAGGGATCCCAACGTCCCGAGAGAACTGCCGTTCGTTGGCGCAGCCAGACGCGTGAAACTGAGCAATGACGGTTTTCCGATCACTGTTTGTGTATCGGCGCTGCTGGAGCTTCCCTTCGATCGGAGGCATTTTTCGTTTTGAAAGCCATGTTGAAAAACATGAACTTGAATGTGCCTTTCTTGTGATTGGTGGGTTTTGAAACGTAATCAGACCATCTTGCCGATAAAAGTGACTCAATTTCATCCAACCGAAATCGTTTATTTGATCTGTCATGTGTGCCCTTTATAATAATATGCATGTCCTACTTGACGACAGCGTTTTCCCGCCAAGCACTGTAAGCGAAGGCGTTAAAGAATGTGAGTGGGTCCGTCATCTTCTTATAGAGATGGGATTTCAACCAACTGGCCCCATAGTTATCTGGTGCGATAACACAGCCGCAATTGACATTGTTCATAATCCTGGAAATCACAAAGCAACTAAGCACATCGAGACAAGGTTTCTATTTGCTCGAGACTTAGTTGAGAATGAGAGAATCAAAGTCCAATACTGCAAGACAGAGGAAATGCTCGCAGATCTTCTAACGAAGGCACTACCTGTCAAGCAATTCGAATTCCTTCGCCATGCCATGGGGGTTCGTAACTTGAAGAAGAATCATGTGTGACTTACCCATGCTGCTGCACGTTGTCCACCTGTATCACCCAAATCTACAAGTGGGTGTCGGATAAAATTAGTTATCCGGAATAATGGAGTACTGGCGATGTGCCATCATCAGAATTGACAAATTAACGTGTGGTGTAGAGCCTGTGATACGCACGTGTGTTGTATGTTTTAGCCAATCAGATTTTGGCAACAATATCTAGTGGCTACCTGCGTTCCTTGGCTGTGATGTGAAGAGGATTGTAATGAATGGTACACAACTCAATTTACCACCTGCGAACTGAGCCATTCTGCTTGTGTGTGTGTGTCGATTGATTTTTCTTAGCGTGATACGTATTGCTTGGATTGATCTGATAATTACACACCGCCCCTAGTCGAGCAGGCGCGTTTATGTATAATTGGTGAAGGGCTACATGTGGTTCTAGTATAGGTTAAAAATGATAATCCAAACTCAATTCACCAACCTTTTTCCAAACACCTCACCCCTAACCCGCTCATAAAAACCATCCCATTTGAAATAAACTTTCCCCTAAACCCCTTTTACGAGGGAGTCATATGGACAAAAGGCCTGCTGAAAAAGTCAAGTCGTGAGAATGGTTAGGGTGACTTCTTCGATGACGAGACCTGGACCAGTCGTGTGAAGTTTACTCCACGCTATCAGACTCCCATACAGTAGCAACTTTGCCGGCTTGTGGCGTGACTGAGTGTGTTAACCTACGCAACAAGCCGCCAAAGTTCCACATATATCGCGCCTGGGTCGTGTTTCGTGCTGCTTGTGTAAAATATCTTCTATAGTCGAGACATACTGTATGTACTGCCTAGAGATACTAGTAGTATAAACCTTGCTTGCGGTACCAACGGATGGCTGAATGTGCTAGGGGGTCACTTACACCGTGGACCAAGCGAGCAGTGTGTATGAGGTGGCAAATTGAAGAATGACGACATTGAAATGGGGTAATCGCCAATATGTGAGTATATCAGCAAACTTCGCCAAAATGTGAAACCTTCGCCAAAATGTGAGCGCACAGAATATCGCACTTTACAAACATAAATCAAACATTTGACACTTTGTAATTTACACTTAACTTACATGTTAGTTACCGGTACCTTGAGAATGACACCTTGTGGAGTGGGTGGTGGATTTCAGAGTACACCACAAACTGGCAAGGTTTCACTGAGGACGACTGGTGTCGTGAAGTACACTGTGTCCACCAGGCTTCCATTACATTCCCTTGTGGCTAAATCGTTGTACTCATGCAGCAAGGCTATGCCATTACCCTCTATTTAGACCAGCTATTACCATCGTCAACAAACTCACCAACATGACTTGGTCTATGACTCTATTGGGACTGGGAAAATTCATACTCACAAGACTTTATTAAACGTGACGCGCTTGTGACATCGCCCCATGTTCTGTAATAACGACAGAATTGTTGCAATAACGACGAGATTATTGTGATAACTACTAGTTTTGTGTGAAGACGACTGGTTTTGTGTGAAAGCGACCAGTTTTATTGTGACAACGACGATTTACATGTGCTAGCGCCATATCTGCTGTGTGTGAATATAAATTGATCTTTTTTTGCTTAACGTTATCTAAATATTTGTTGTGACGGAGATATTACCTCTATAAGTGAAGAGAACACGGTAGTAATATCCGGCATTTAAGTTTGAAGGTACTAATTTGAGGTATTACGTTGGTTGGGATGTGAATGCTAGGTAGTTGCCCCCTTTTTTTACTGTTGAAAGTCCTTCCCCCATGACTACATTGAATTCTAGACTTCCTTTTGAGGGGGTGCAAAGATGTATTCATAGCGGAAATACACAGAAAATCAACCTGCAAATCTCATAGCATTGAATCATATTGTGATTAAAGCTGGGAGTTTTTAGTCACTATATTGTTGGCATCATCCCCCAAACTTAACAAAGTTTCGATCTCCGGAGGCTGCGGGAAACGATCAACTTTACAATCCTCAAACGATATGGCAGTACGTTGTTCATCATCACCATACACGAATCAAATCGAGTTCAGCCTGAGGAAGAAAGCAGCGGTCACTACTTTTAATTTCAATTTTGAAGGATTGGCATCGTCCTCAATTGATTGCGCTGAGTTGCTTGGCTTCACACAAAACGGTTGCATACTTTTTAAAATATGACATTTAAATGTTAGAAAATTATAACATAACATATCTATGTATGCTATAAATTATAGCTCAAGATAGAATAATTGTTTGTCATCTTTCACGCTATATTTGAAGTTTCGCCAAAATGCGTTTAATGTGGGGGGTCAAAGCAGGGACCCTTGAGATTACATCCGAAGATCTATCAACGTTGGTACTCACCTACGAATGGCCCCCAGCTATGGTATCCGTTTTTGACCACTTTGAAAAAGAGTTGGCTGAGTAACCATCGACAAAAATGTGGGCGAGGGCAAACGCTTTCGCGGCGGCAATTGATGAGCAACTGGGCAATTTTAGCGCCGCTCCAATCAGCACTCAAGTCATTGATTTGCCACGACCCTCCGTTCCACACAAATCACGGTTTACGGTTGCGATGGACGGTGTTGTGCCCAAAGAAATGCTTGTGTTCGAGTTCAAAGCACAAATTAGCAACGGCCAAGCAGCAGTAGCTCAGATTTTCACGATTTAGCTATATTCACAGAAATGCATTCTTTTTTTAAACTAAATTGTCAGTGTGCTTAATATACAAATGGCAACTATGTATTGTAGGAGCAGAGTAGATCAGTTCCCGCAGCCTCCAGTGGATACTTTTCGAAAATGCATTAGTGGTTAAAAGTCGGACAGGATACAGTGAACTGGGAAATAACTCGACACAGTTGCACTCGAATAAAAATATGCAATCCACATGACAAAGACTAAAATGCAAAAAAATACATCATAACTTGATTGGATTAGTGACTTGAATTCAATTTAAGATATGTGATTGGTCCGCCTTGGAAACACCGAAACGTTCAAACTTTGAAACGCCTGCCCCGCTGCTTCCCCAGCGAGTCCAAAGGTGGTACAACCTCGACATGCGCATCAAGCTACTCATGGCCTATGTGAATACAAATCTCTCGGATAAGGCTATTTCTGCATTAGACGATTGGTATTCCACGCACAACTTGGCTGACATGGCTGAGTAAGAATTTCACATACCTCACCACCGAACGCAACAAACGGTGCTTGACGCTTGGTGGTCAAGGGAGACCTGTCGCCATGCCATTCGCCAACGACTTGTTGGTCTTCATGAAGGCCGTTCGAGCCGACAGCCACCTCTTGACCACTGCCCATATGGTCACATGGATCAAGACCCATCAGCAATCGTGGGTCGAGACGTACCTCCAACGGAAAGACGCTAGTGGAACCGGGTACGATGGATTGTTGGGTCTGTGCCAAAGCTTTGTCCACCTCCATGGCTTTGCGCAACGTGTACCTTGTTACTACAAGCTGAAACGAGCTGAGTTGAAAGAGCAGAAGAATGCGTTTGCAGCGACCTTCTGGGAGAAGAAAGATGAGAAGCCCCTACGAGACATCGTCAATGTAAATGAAACAGCAGTGTACTACGACATGCCACCTCGACGTACGTAGTGTGAAGTTGGCGAAGACGCGAAAGTGGATTCGACCAAGAAGCATTCCGATCGCCTCACGGCTGTGCTTGGAGTGCGTGCGACCGTGCTTGGAGCCTGCGCTGATGGTCCGTCATGGTGCATTGCTGCATTCGGCTGACATGTGACGTAGGGACGAAGCTGCCAATACTGTTCATCGTGCGTGGGCAACCCGCAGGGCCGATCGAGACTGATGAAGTCCCAACGTATCCTGATGGACACGTATACGCGGTTTAAGAAACAGCTTGGTTGAATGAGAGTGTGTGGTATATTACCTCAAGGAGCTGTTGAAGTATGAGCTGGTTGGCCCGTCAGTCCTCCTGGTAGACAACCTCACTGCTCATGTCTCTTACACGTCGCGGCGCACTGTCGACGAAGAGCTGCATGGTTTCTTGGAGCCGCTGCCGCCAAACGCAACAAGCGTGTCGCATCCTCTTGATGTTGGTGTGATGGGGCTACTGAAGGCCAAGCTTCGCGCTTTGTGGCTACAGCAGAAACAGGTGAAGTCTTGCGGCAGAAAAGATAATGAAGATGATTGAACGCACGATCAAGGCATGGGAACGTTTGAGTGAGTCTGCGGTGAAAAGGTCATTCGAGAAAGCACTGCCACGCGTCCCTCGCGAGCGATGCGAGCCATCTATGAGCGAAGCGAATCACGAGCGTAGCGTGTAAGTCCCGCTGGGCCAATTTTTTTTTATATTCTTTAATTGAGTTTATTGGGCGAACGATGAGGATTTAATGGTTTTTGACTGCTGCATTTGACTCCTTTGATGTTTGGCTACCTGTTCGTGAATTTTTTTTGTTTAAGTGAAGTATTTGTTATGTTGGATTCTTTGATGTTTGGCTACCTGTTGGTGGATTTTGTTTTGTGTAAGTGAAGTATTTGTTATGTTGGATTTTGTATGGGTTTGTTTTGGAGTCCTGTGGACTCAGTTGTGGAATTTGAATATTTTTGTGATGCTGTGGCGAATCACATCAGTTGAATTTTTCGTATTTTATCAGACGAAGACGAGTGTTGTATGACAAAATAATATTCGAACTTGTCTCGATGTGTGGTTTACAAACTCATATATTGTTGTGTGCAACTGTGTCGAGTTCTTTCCCAGTTCACTGTATACAGAAACCAAGTGATCGTCGGACCGTTTGTCCGACTTTCTTGTTCGTTGTAATATTAATTATATACAAAAGCGAAGTCTAAACCAGACGTGAGAAATTGACAGAGGAAAGTTGGACCGAATGTCCTGTATCCATTGATTGGTTATAAGTGCTTTGACCATGGCAGATGAACAACATAATGACGTTTTGCCTGCAACCCGCCAACTAGCAACAACAGTACAGAACAATACCTTGGAGCCTGGTACTACTGGAGGAGTGGTGTAGTGGTAGGTCTGACTGTGGTGGTCGTAGGGTGAGCAGTATTGATTGCTGTGGTGGTGGGTGTGGATGTGGTAGTAGTGGTTGGTTAGTACTACTGGAGGTGTGGAGCAGGCTCTAAGGTACTGTACTGTACTAGTACTGTCGTTTCTAGCTGGCTGTACAAGATCAAGTCGCGGGACGTAACCAAGAATCAAGGCAATATCTTGTGTGAGTGGAAGTTCGCGGTGCAGGAGCTCCAAAACGTTTATAACAGCACGATTGGCACTGGTTTGGGTCGTCGTCGTCCCTACACCTCGGCCACGGCTATAGATAGCTGCATTACATTTGGCACTATAATGGCCAATTTGCCATCATCCTGGGGTTTCACTGAACTTGGACGTCAGTTTCGTACAGTATGTCCCAAATGAAGATGGTCATATTTGTACGCCTGGCTAGAAAACGTAGACGGGAGACATAAGTTCTGTAACCCCGAAACCCCGAGTAAAGGCAAAATAATTAGGTCGAATTTAAGCCAATCAGAATTGAGTCGGATGAGATGTCCGACTTTATCACATTGTAACCTGCGGCCAAAACTTGAAGTCCATAAGTATACGTTTTGAATAGCTTAATCGAATACAAAGTCGACTTGCACCAAAACTCGACTCCTTCGTTTAGACATACGTTTATCTTCGCTTATGTCGCCGAGGATGACTATGTTCGTCATTTCCCGCAGCCTCAAGGCGTCGGTCAAGTCGCTTCTGTCCAACCAAGTTGAATCGACGGCTGTGGAAGTGGCCACGACATGGATCCAATGTTCCATGGACATCAACAACGCCCCCACCGACCTCGTCTGCAAGTTCGCGGCGTTGCCGGAAGTCAAATCCATTTACGAGCCAGTTACAATGACACTCGGTGATACCCAAGCAATGACAAACCAGCAAGTGCTGTGAATGATGACATCGCATGGGGGATCAAGAAGATCCAAGCGCCGGCGCTATGATGTTTGAATGACGTGGATAACGAAGATTGGAGGGTGATAATGATGTCAGGGACACGCAGTTAGTCCTGATTTAGTTGCTTGACGGGATCCGTGACGTGGAGTTATGAGGGGTACGTGTAACCGCCAAGCAATCCAATGAGAAATAATTTCATGGCCCAGGCTATCCGAACCCACCAAACACGATGACTGGCGTCGTTCAAACATGCACGATCCTCCAAATATGGCACAAACAACGTCCAGCCCAAACAGCCTGCCATGTTTGCAAGGTGTGGTGTGGGTCATAGGGGTAGGAGCACTTGGGGATGTCGCTTGTGTATGGTATGACCCGAGATGGTGGTGCACAGTTACGGGGTGTGGGATGTAGAAGGCTTCCACAGCCCACACCTGCCCACATCCGCCCGCATGCACCGCGAAGGTACCTTCGTCGTTGGATGGTTGGTTGACTATATTATGCAACTCGTCCACATGCACCATGTCCTGTGAACCACTTGTGACGGAGCTGGTGCATGGCCATGGGCTACACTATGACCTCGTGATATTGTCATCACAAAGGTACTACGTAGTATATGGTTGGATGGGTGGATTATCGTTGAATTCGGTCGTCCTTCCCCAGAGGTCTCAATGGTCGCGTGATCTTAGCTGGCGTTTAGATAGATCATCCAATGTTAGGCAAAATGTAAAAGTAATCTATCTAAAAGCCAGCTAACATTGGATCTACTCTTTGCTTGCTTTGTCCCTCTTGGTAAAGCCAAGAGAATCTGGAGTCCGAACCTCGGGACCTTGGATAGTTTTGTGCGTCTAACCCACACGACCGTCACACACGCCATCCATCCAGCACGGCAATCCACTGAAACCTTGACATCCCATCCAGAACTCCTTCATGGATTGTCCGTGCTGGATGATGGGGATCATGGAACATGGTGCATGCGGACGAGTTGTGGACATTGACAACCAACGATTAAATGACACCATCCAGGCACCTTCCCGTGGAAAGTGTCTGGACGTTGTCGTTTACACATGTGATGGAAAAGCTTGTGTCAAGGGGCACTTGACAATGAGCATAGTGACAGGGTATGTTGCGATATCCCGCAAAATATACTAGTTGGAGTATAATATTATTATTTATTCCGTTTTCAGGATATTTTCGGCCGAATAAGTATGCGTATCGCAGGAGTTGGCAACGAAATGGTATCCGGACACGTCCTTTTGACACAAATGATCTCGATGCGAAGTACTAGTATTTATTTATCCAAATACTGAGAAATATCAAGTTGAGCGTGTTTAATGTCAAACTATTATTGTCGGTGAGTTTTGTTGACGAAGGTAATAGCTGGTCTAAAACTACGGCCGTCATCCTGAGGCTGGGGCTGGTAGCACGCCAGCCTTGGCTCCGTCCACATCTACCTTTGGGCCTTGGGTGTCCTTGAGCCGGCACAAGCCACCGTTGAGGTTGTACCACACAAACACTTTGCATCCCGGTGTCTTTTTACATTCAGCGCAGCAGGATTCAACAGTCGTCAGATTGAACGAAGCTAAGTCGCCGCCAATATAGTGCGTGTTGTCTTCCAACGTACCACACGTGCTTAGGTCATTCGGGTTCAGGACTTGGGTGGACTCGGATGGCGGGGGAAGAGTCAGGCCGCGGATGCTAGCAGCCACGGCCTTGAAGATGTTCAAGCGGCCGTGGCCAAAGAGGTTGTTGGGATACTGCGTGTTGGGAATGTCACCGCAGTTCTTGTTGGGTGGAGTTAGCGTGTTCGTATCCACATTCTCGGTCAGGGCCCTGTACACTTGGTCGTACGAGGCGCCATTGTTGGCAGACAAGTACAAGGCGATGGCTCCAGAAACATGAGGCGCGGCCAAGCTCGTACCCGAGGCCCTGATGAAACTATCGTCGCTGGAGTGTCCTGAGGTAGGGATGTGTTCACCAGGAGCAGAAATGTCGGGTTTGACGAGTGTTTTGTTCAAGACGGAAGGTCCCAAACTTGAACCGAACGCCAAATAATCGTAGGAGTCAGTGTTGCCGACAGCAATCACTTGAGGGGATATGCCAGGATAACCTGAATACGTACAGCCTTGACGGCCGTGGTTGCCGATCGCAAATACGGGAATGATTCTCGCTTCTCTCCACTTTGTAATGATATCTTCCAAATAAAAGTTCCTGGTGAGATGTCCAAAGCTGCCGTTGATCACATGAGGGGCCTTGCTGGGGTCACATTTGTTGATGTCTTTGTCGTGGGGACAAAGCAGGAATTGAGTGCATTCCACCAACTTGGATTCCTCCAAACCATAGTTGAGCCCTTTGCACGCAATCCACTTGGCTTTGGGGGCGACACCAATACCTTTCGTTCCCACCATAACGCCCATGACGGAAGTGCCGTGCCCATCCTCGTCGTCGGGAAGCTTATTCGTCTTGTTGTACGGGTCGAACCAACCATATTCTCTTCGCCAGTTCGACTCCAACGACT